CCTTCTTCGGGAAATGTTGCAGCAGCTGCTAGCAGGAATCTTATAAGTCGTTACCATCTTGACAGTAGTGTGTCATCACAAAACGGCTACAAAAAGAAAAGCAGCGGGAGTTCCAAATCTACCAGTAAAGGTGGTTACCTCAGTGATGGAGACTCTCCTGAATTAATAACAAAATCGGGTAAACATGGTTCTGGAAGCAGGTTTGGGAAAGGAAAAGAGACCCTTCCAAATAACAACAATAAAACTGAAATAGACATTGATGCTTTTAGACATTACAGCTTTTCTGATCAACCCAAGTGTTCCCAATATATATCTGGACTCATGAGTGTTCACTTTTATGGTGCTGAAGATTTAAAGCCACCACGGATGGACTCAAAAGATGTTTTTTGTGCAATTCAGGTAGATTCAGTAAACAAAGCAAGAACAGCCTTGCTTACATGCAGGACAACTTTTTTAGATATGGACCACACTTTCAACATAGAAATTGAAAATGCCCAGCACTTAAAACTAGTGGTCTTCAGCTGGGAGCCTACCCCACGGAAAAATCGTGTTTGCTGTCATGGAACAGTGGTTCTCCCCACTCTTTTTCGAGTGACAAAAACACATCAGATGGCTGTCAAATTGGAGCCCAGAGGGCTTATTTATGTTAAACTAACTCTCATAGAACAGTGGGAGAATTCTCTTGATGGTCTAGTTACAGATCGAGAGCCAGTGATATTTGGAATAGATGCTCAAAAAGTTGTTGAGAAGGAAAATGTGGGCTTGATGGTACCACTTCTGATGCAGAAGTGTATTACGGAGATTGAAAAGAGAGGCTGCCAGGTACTGTAAACTATTTAAAAAATTCTTCTGTATCAAGTGGTTGAAATTTGTTTTGCATTGTTATGTTTCAAATTTGAGCAGCAAGCAAGGGAATGCAGTAAATGTTTGCCATGGTGTATCTTTTTTTCTTTGTTTCTCCTCTGATGTGGTCTCTTCACTTTGTCATTGTCAATGTGCAAATTTCTCCTCTTTCTCATTGAAACATGGTGAGGAGTAGTGAGGCTGGATGTGCCCAGCTTTTTCAGCTTCTTCATAAGGGAGGCCTATGCTTAATGCCAGTGGCATGTTAGGACTATGGGAACATACATAAAACTGTAGATTATGGCACTTGGATTCACTCCTCAGGAAAGACAATGCTGGGATTAGGATTTACCATTTCCTAACTTTCAACCAATGGCTCAATCCATAAGACCATGCTGCTGCACATATGTTGAAAAGATAGAATGTAAAATTCCCAAATACCCACAATTCAGACATTGTGCCCTCCAAATTCAAGTCATTTGTTGTCATCTTGGCAAAACTTGGGTTTAGCAAATGCATTCACAAGCCAATATGTGAGAGAGAAACTCTGATTTGTCTCCTGGCCTTTCCTTTATTTATGCTGCTGTGCATAGCATGTCTTGCCTTTAAACACAAGCAACTGCTTGGGAAGCCCCCTAACAGACTAAAAAGGTCTCAGTCAAAATCTCTTCTCGCAATCGGACAAAAAGGATACAGAACTCTCATTGTCTTCCTCCAGACACACACCCTTCCTCATTTTCTTTCTCACTCTCTTTCTTCATGAGGGGACCCAAGAATTGCAAAATAAACTCTGCAGTCTAGTAGTGTCAAGTTTTGTCTCTCTTGTTCATCTTGTTTATGGTTGATTAGTCTAGAGGTTGTAAAATGTGAGTTAAAAAGAGTATGATCTCTTCATCTTCCAGTAATGCTTCCATTTGTAAAGTCTGAAAAACATTTTAAAGTAAGAAAAGTGCACAGATCTGATGTCAGACTTATGCTCTGGCCAATTTAATTGAAATTAGCTTTCACAGAATGCTCCATAACATGTGAGAGGCCTGGGACCCTTGGAATTCGGTCTTTGGAACAAAAAACAGGACTATGTTTCAGCTACACCAGACTAACACGGCTACATTTCTATCACTTTCATTCAATGTGTGTCTTTCTGCTGGTGAACCCTGCAATTTCCTCTGGTTTGTTACATTTTAAAATTTGTGCCATTTTAAGTGAATGGCTCTGGGCCATGTGGTTCCCCCAGTCCCATTTTTTACCTTTATCACGAGATTACCCATCAGAAGACTATAGTCTACATATGCTCTGTTAAAATGGAAAACTACCATTACATTTTATAATTCCACATGGTAGCCCTGCTAAATCTGGAATATCTTTTAGTTTTTTAAATAATATTTAAAATATAGATGTGTATTCTTATTATTTTGGAGTTGAATATCATTGATAACTGTGCTTCACTTGATCTATTACACTAAAGCTTTTTTCTATTTTGAAAGTCAGTGTAAAAGGGAAGCGTTTAGAGAAAATAAACCTCATAGTTTTCAGTTGCAGTACATTGTAGGAGTGGTTCTCAGTGGGGGTATCATAACCCTAAGGGGCATATATTAACTCTTCTAGATATTTGCTTAGTTTCATAACAGGCTATGTAAAAAGTACTAGAGTAGTCAGTACAAACTAAAATTTCATACAGACAAAATTAGAAAATAAGCAATTTTCGATAATAGGGTGCTGTATCACTTTTGTATTTTTGTTTTGTAAGTGGGGAATACAAGATTAATCATACTTTGCAAAAAGGTACAGTAGTCTGGAAAGGTCGAGAATTACTGCATTATAATGTGTCCCAGGGCTTCAGGCTTTTTTTCTTGTGCTTGTTTGCACTTAGTCAAGTAGTTGATGTTGACAATCAGGATATTACTGATTACTGAGCAATTGGGATCTGAATTGTCTTCAGGTGCCTAATTTTTCAACCCACACAAACAAGACTAAAATAGTTGAATTTCACATTTGACTATCCATGAAACTTTGGATTTCTTACTGAACTATACAGGATACCAGTTTATGTTTTTGCTAATGTCACTGCTGTTGGGATGATTAACAGGTTATGGTAATAAAACCTTATGGCTAATGTTGAGTGTTTGCCTAATATCTGCATATACAGGGCTGATTGCTGCTCTGTTATATGGATGCACCATCCATTGACTTCATTCCTTAAATCTTCATTTATATCAGTGGGCAGAGGATGAAGATAACTTATTTGACCATTAGTGTATGGTCAAACAATTGGCCCTTTTTATAAGCCATCATATCCTGGATTCTAGTCTCTGCTCATGACTAAGGGTACACATAGACAGCAGCACTATTTTGGGATACTTCTAGAATCCCGAAATAGTATTTTCTGCATGTTAACAGCACAACCGTTATTTTGAAATGGCTTTCGAAATAACGGGTGCACCGTTCTGACATCCCTGTAAATCTCGTTCCACTAGGATTAAGGGACATTTCGGAATAGTGCTCTATTTCAAAATTTGGCACTGTGTAGACAGCGCCAAATTTTGAAATAAGCTATTTCGAGATAAGGGTGCAGTGGCACTCTGTGCAGCCTTAGAAAAGTCATTTACCAGTCATCTTGCCAGTCAGTAAAATAGGGATCAAAATAATAGTCTCATTCTAAGAGGTGGTTTTAGGTTTAGTTCTTTAATGTCTGAGAAGTGTTTGGAGAATAGATGTTCCCAAAATACAGTGTTTTTTAAAATAATAAGTATAGCAAAATAGAGCATGTAGAAATATATGCACCAAATACTTTTCAATGCATGATGATCATGTATAGATACTGTTCCTTTGTACTGACTGTTAGGTAACGCTAGAAAATATAATCTCCTGGTTTGTATAAATGTGTTCATGTAACTTAAAATAATGTACGTGTTGGCATAATATCTTAACACTTCTCAAATTTGCTTTTTGGTTATCTGATGCTAGAGTACATCTGTTGTTTCCTGAAACCCCAGTTGGGTATGCTATCAAATATAATTAAATATTAGTAATGATACTGTTAATTGCTGTGAAAGTAAGTGTCAGTTATAAATTACTCACTTGACAAAGAAATTCAAATCCCATTTAAAAATGTTAACTGGTTAAACTATATGGTTAACTGGCCCATCAAGGGCTGCTTTGGCCTGATCAGGCAGTGCCTGCTGCACTGCACTGTCAGTGGGGAAGCTGCTCTGGCCAGGCTGGGCACCCTGGTAAGTAAAGCAGCAATGCTTACTGGGTACCAGTTAACCGGTTACCCCCTTTACAGTCCTAATTTTATATTGTTAATAGATTTACAGCATAGTCTTGTTTCTTAATGTGCATAATCTGTAATCTGTGCCCATGATTCATGGGTACAAAGGTTGTTTATTGAAGATCCTATTAATCATTCATAGACTATGTCTGTCAAATTACCTTAAAAAGTCCAAGGCCCATTTTTTTAATCCAAATTACTTTGTTTAAACTCAAATGAGTTAACATATTATGAATTAAACAGTTATACAAGCACACAACTGGTGAGCTGTACAAGCACAGTAGAAAGAGGTTTGCAATTTTACCTGTACTACTTTGCATTATTTATTGAGATTCTACCCACTCATCAGTGGTTATAAAGCGTAAATGTGATCAGAATTCTGGTTTGTGACTCACAGGAGAAGAAAATGAGCCTGAAGCTTTTTTGTTTTGTAAAAAGCCACTAGAAATTGAGCCAAAAAGAGTGCTTGGATTAATGTAAAGACTTTTTTTTCCATTTTGTATTATGGTTTATTGTTCTAGTGCTCCTTTACCGATGTGTTATAAAAATAATTGAAGTTTCTTAGGACATTATTCCTATGCCTTGTCAATGAAAAGGGTGGGGAAGGTGGGTGGGTATAAAGCAATGGTAGGTTGCCTGCAGCCCATCAGGGTAAGTTGCTGGCAGGCCTCAATACAACTTGTTTATGTTGAATTTCCACAGGCATGGCCCACCTGTAGCTCCTAAGAGCCATGGTTCACCATTCCTGGCCAATGTGAGTTGCAGGAAGTGGCAGGCTACAGGGAGGTGCCGACTGCTGTTTCCCGAAACTCCCATTGTCTAGTAATGGTGAATTGGAGGCTGCAGGGGGCCATGCCCACCAGTGCTCCATGTAAACAAACTGTCTCACAGCCCACTAGCAGCTTTATCCTGATGGGCTGCAGGTTCCCCACCACTGCTTTAGGACTGGGTGGGGAAACAATTAGTCTTTTGGGAAGGGCGTTTGCTCGCTTTGCACTAATATTTAACACTAAGTCCTGCAACTTTTTATCAAGTAGAGTTAATATATTTATTCTTTAACAGAAAATTACTACTATCTGCTGTTGGTACATGGAAGCCTTTTTGTGCTCATCCCAAGTGCCTCAGTAATAAGCCAATAGCTTAATAAAATCACTTTCTGTCAAAAGGCGTATTGGTTCCGTATGTTTGGCTGAGGACATTAGCTGCTTCCATAGAAACAAACTGATAAGAGATTGACACTCAGTATTGTAGAGAACATTATTATTTATTTATTATTGTAACTCAGATTGTGGACATACAATATTTAAAATATGTTGCTGTTTGATGTTAAAAGATTTTGCCATATGCTTTTGTTTTTTACTTAGTAAGTTTTTGGGTGGGGGGGTGGGTGTGTTTTTCCCCCCTCTCACCATCTTTAACTGAAGACATTGCCAAAAATCTCGTTCTTTTTATTCTAGTTGTCTGAGTAGCACTACTTAGTGCTCTGCAATGGGCAATATGTCACAGTGTGGCCATGATTTCACTTCTAGGTTGTAGGCCTGTACCGATTATGTGGCTCAGCAGCAGTCAAGAAAGAGCTTCGAGAGGCATTTGAGAGGGATAGCAAGGCTGTTGCTCTCTGTGAAAACCAATACCCAGATATTAATGTGATAACAGGTAATGCATTTGCTTTTGTTTTTAATCTATAACCATAAGAATTCAATATTTAAATAAAGGAAATTGTGCTTTAAAATTGCTCATTGAGGTGTCACTCAGACAATTCACTAACTACACTTTTTTTTGCTGAAAAGAGAAAGGGAAGATTAATCCTAACTTTTGTCATATAAAAATGAGATGTGGTGGTGATCAAGAAACAGTGAAAGGAGTGGGGGAGAAAGTGGATAGAGGTTTGAAGTGAAAGGAAGTCTCGGTGGCATGCCAAGACTTTACAACTGTTTGTTCTTTGTATTGTGATAGCTCCTAGAAGAGCTAATTGTGACCAGGACCCAATTGGACTAGGAGCTGTATAGATACACAAGGAAAATACAGTCCTGGCTCCAAATATCCACTGCATGTAGATATAGCTAAGCGGGAGAATACAAACAAATCTCTTATTCATGAGCTTAGGCCCTAGTCCTGGTACTAATTTTACAAATAATTCCATTGACTTCAGTGGGAGATGTGCAGTACATAAAGCTAAGCATGCCCACAAAAGCTCATGATACCATCTACATGTTTTGTTAGTCTTTAAGGTGCTACTAGACGATTTGTTGTTTTTTAAATTTTTCCTGTTACAGACTAACTCAGCTACCACTCTGAAGCTTTTTTAAAATATATAGGGTCATCAGCTTTTTGTGGGTAAGACCCACTTTATCAGATGACTTGGACTTGGGATCCTATATATTTTTGTTAGGCTGTAAGGGCAAGTCTGCATTAAGAAATTATTTTGAAATAACTAATTTTGAAAAACTCCCAAAATAACTATTTTGAAATAAGCTTATTCCCCAAGGAAAGCAGGAGTTATTATTTCAAAATAACCAGCCCCTTATTTCAAAATAAGGGGGTTGGTAGTGTGGACACTCTGCTTGTTTCAAAATAAAGGGAATTATTTCAAAATAACTCCCTCCCTAGTGTAGACCAGGGCTGAAGTGCCACAGGACTTCTCGTCCTATTTAAAGTTGCAGACTAACACGGCTATCCCTCTGAGACATTATAAATATGTGCACTGCTTTTCTTTCTGAAGAAGAATCGTATTTTAACAATTATTTGGTATAGCACTACTCCAACTGTGGAGTTCTAAGAAGGCTCACAATGCTGTGGTTCTCTCACAGTTGGCAGAGTTGCTGCAAGTGTCTTGACACTGAACTAGTTATCTTCTGCAAACTGTAGCCAGTTCGATCGTTAGTTACATTCTAAACAGTTCAGTCATTGAGAGTCTCTGCAATGCCTGAGAACATTAGAGAAATCATGCATGCTTACAGAGACGGCTGGCCTGGAAAGGTGTCTGTTAATGTAGGGGACATATGCATTATCTCATCAGCATCAGTTCTTGTTATGCTTTACTGTAGTGTTTTCAATGCTAAGGCAGATGTATATGATGAATACTTTTATAACCCAAATTACTTGTTCCCTAAAATGTGAATGATCATAAATCTTAACTCTTTTGAAGAGTACTGTAGTGCTTTATGTGAACCCACTTTGAAATTGGAGGAGCACTGTTTTTTCTTTCAAATGATTAGGAAGATATTTTCTTTTTACAGTTCTCCAAAGCCTGAGGAATGAGCACTTAGGCTACGTCTAGAGTTTTTCCGTTAAAAGCATTTGCGAAAAAGAGCGTCTAGATTGACACGGATGCTTTTGCGCAAAAGCACTTTTTGCGGAAAAGCGTCCTTGCCAATCTAGACACAGTTTTGCTCAAGAAAGCCCCGTTCGCCATTTTCGCCATCGGGGCTTTTTTGCACAAAACAGTTCTCAGCTTTCTACACTGGCCCTCTTGCGCAAAAGCACTTGCGCAAGAGAGCTTTTTCCCAAATGGGTGAGTCATTGTATTTGCGGAAGAACACTGACAATCTTACATTAGATCGTCAGTGTTCTTGTGCAAATTCAAAGCGGCCAGTGTAGACAGCTAGCAAGTTTTTCCGCAAAAGCGGCTGCTTTTGTGGAAAAACTTGCCAGTCTAGACGCAGCCTTAATGATTAAGTCTTGACTGAGAAATGCTCTTGAGACTGGCCTTGGCTTTCAGGCAAGTAAATGCACTCGTGGCTCAAAATAAAGCAGACTGCCAGTTTTAGGAACTAGCCAGTAGTAATGTTGTTGCATCATGTCTGCTTCCATCCATGTGAATTCACATTTCTGAATAAAGCATGTAATACAGTTAACAGTTCAATGAGTCAGAAAAATGAGAAATTAATGAAGTGGATGGTGATTTCTGCTCGCTGTCTAAATTTGTTCTGTGTGGTGAGTGGTTGTTTGAAGAGAATGCAGCAGTGAGCTGGCAGTCAGGAGAGCAAAGCTTAGACTGATAAAAATAACTGCAGCCTCTTACAGGGCTAATGTACCAGAGGGAACAGCAAAAGGATTGAGAGGTCAAAGGGCACTTTCTGGCTCAAAATTATTCTGTTACTCAGGGATTAAGCAAGAGAAAGTTATTGGGGGGAAGGGTGGGGAGGGCAGAGGTGGTCCCATGACCATGGACTCTCTTATGCTAATACATGGAGTTTAATAAATGGTTGTGAGAATTCTCACTATGTTATAAACTTTCACATAATTAGGACATTTCCCCTCTTCCTACTGCAAAAAGTAATTTAGATCTTGAATTCCTCTTTGAAGTGCAGCTTAATCTGAAGCACAGAAGAAAAGGTTGTAGAAAATCAGTGCCTCTTGCTTTCACAATGTACAACAACGTTCTGCCAAGTTTGTAACATAAATATCCCACACGTGGAATATAGTCCTCTAAAATAAGGGAAAAGAGATAAACATGGGGAATACAAGGGCATTGTAGGTCATTTAACAAGGAGTACTGTGTTCAGTCCATCAACTTAACTGTGTGATGCATGATTTAACAGAGTAGTACAAAATTCAGAGAGAATATGGGCATAGAAACTGGGTATGGTATTTTCTTTTCCTCGATGGTACATCAGTATTTTTGAAATGCGCTGTAGACTGTTACCTATGGGGTAGTGACCTCTAAAGACATGACTGTGAAACTCCATCCTCTGCTTCTGAATACTCCTATATGTTATACGTACGCATAGTTTCAGGTTACACTAGATTAAAACAAAAACCTTCTGAATTCTGTATTAGTTTGTGAGCTCACATGTGGTAACACATGCTACAGTCAAGATAACTGTCTAGCCCACTGGTTCATTCCCTTCTGTGTGTCCAAAATGTTATTTTTTGTGGTGTCTGAAATTTCCTTTCTAGGACTGCCCCAAAGTGAATTTCCATTGTTAAATTTGCACAAAATCTCTTTGACTGTTTTTGATTTGAGCTTCAGTAGGTGGGAAAAGTGCTTTGCACAGTGTATGAATAACTAAATGTCTGTCTGTCTATCTAATCTATCAACATCCTCCCTCTTCTTCCGCCCCCCCCCCCAAAAAAAAAACCCTTGTCTTGATTTTTGAAGAGGACCACAGTGGCTTTTAAAAAAAGAAGCTATAATCCAAATCTTGAGATGAAGCCTTGACAGAACATGTGTTTACAAGATTTAAAGAAAGATAACAATTGTGATTTTTAAATATATGTTGCATTGAATACAGTGTGTCCTGAGTGTATGTGATATAACATTTCTTTTGATTGGGAAATGTGCACTTGAATTTAAATGCAGGGCTGAGAAATGCACACCCATTTAGCAAGTCTAAAGATAAGAGCCTAGTCCTGTTGAAATAAATTTATAGGCTTTAAAAACCTAGGAGAGTTAATGTTAAAAATTATTGAAGTCCTGATAAAACTATACAGCTCAAACTGGAAATAGAGAGCTATGCTTTCAACAGCAATTTTACTTGGTCATGCTGCACTAATCAGAAAAGAAGGAATAGAAAACAGCACATTGATGTCATGGGGATAGTGACAGTTGCTCTTGGTATTTTAGCTTCTCCATTACCTGACTTGCTGTAGTTTTTACTCTGCTTTCTTACATTGTTTTAAAACAATATATTTTTCTTCTTTACTTTTCTGTCAAAGAAATAAAAGCAAAGATTGATAATCATTCTAATACAGGCAGTCCCCGAGTTACGCGGATCTGAGTTATGCGCCCGCCCCCCCCCCTCCCCCGAGCAGACCAGGCTTCTGTTGTAGACCCTGGGGTAGAGCAGCTGGGGTGCTGCCGGGTTGGTCCTGCAGGGACCTACCTGGCAGCCCAGCTGTTCTGTCCCAGGCTCGAGATTCAGCTGCTGTTGAAACTGATCAGTGGCTGATTCCAGTAAACTGGGGGCAGAGCAATTCTGCCTCCAGCTTCCTGTAGTCAGCCCCTGGTCAGTTTCAGCAGCAGCGGCTGAATCTGGAGCCAGTTCCGACTTACATACAAATTCAACTTAAGAACAAACCTATAGTCCCTGTCTTGTACGTAACCCGGGGACTGCCTGTAGTTATTATATTCCATATATGAAGACCATCTAAGGAGGAAAAAATCAAATCTTCCCCATGCTGTATTTGTGACATTAACTTTTAACAAATTATTTACTGACACCGTTTACTTTACAACTGGTTCATAGGGCAAGCTTTGCACTAAGCTTTTTAACAACTCTTGCTTTGTTAAAGAACACAGAGTGATAGCATTTCTGTCACTAGGTAGTGACCTGTCCTGTGTTTGGCAGATACTTAACTACTCCTCTCTATTTCCTTCTTCCAGATCTGTTATGCTAGATTACAGGTTCTCAAATTGTGGATTTGTGATCCATCAGTGGGTCCCAGGGTTATTGTGTATGAAGGATGTTAAATTGCAGTTATCTGGCTAATCGTGTAGTTGATATAGTTTGTATCGACTACATGATTATTCGATATGGACTGCTCTGCGGAGCCACAGTGGCAGTAGCTCCAGTAGCTGGCTCGAGCTGGGACTGAGCAGTCCTGGCTTATGCCGGCTCTAGGAGCCACCCATGCTGCAGCTCTGCATTTTAAATGTAGTAAGAGCCACCGGGCTCCTGTTTCACCCCCTCCCTTGCTGCCTCTCCAGTCGA